TGTCTATCTCCACTGATTTTATCTACAAGTAAATTATCAGTTATGGATATTCTGTTTAGACCTTCTTGTGACTAGAGACATAAGGATTCAGATTTTGTTAGGGGTCCAGACATTTCTCCCACCCTTACCATTGTGGTATCAAACACTCAAATCTGGAGTTTTTATAACCATCCTCTTGCACATCTGCTAATAAGTCAGTCAGTTTTGCTTCAGATAAAAGCTTTTGTCTATCCCATTCGTAATACTGGTCCTTACCTTCCTGGCAAAAGTGAGGGCAATCTAGAAATGTCAGCCAAAGTCAGAGAGGTGGGGCCAGCCACATCATAAATTGTTTCCAAATATGAGGAGTGGCCAGAACGAAGGGCTATCTATGCTACCCTGATGCAACTTCCCAAAAGGAATACCATACTTCTCAGAGAAGGAATTCCGTGGCTGTTTTCCATTTGCACTCAGAGATACCTGAGTGATATTGATGAAATGGAACAGTTAGGTGATATCAGCAGTATGATAATAAAGTTTTAAGTTGGGGGATCCCGTTTTTAGTATTTCTGCACAATGTCACTTTATTAATCCTTGCCCTGCATGTGCAAAATCTTCAGTGAGCCTTGCAACTTTCTGAGGGAATCTTCCAAACTGAAAATAAGAGCTGAAAGAGGAATAAAGGCCAGGATTTTTAGTGCAGCAATTCTGCCCAACAAGGCAAGTTTGATTTGTTTCCTGGGCAATCCTCTTTTCTCTTACCAATAGAACATAATTTCTTTTCTTTTAAAAAAAAAATTGTTTCAGATCCTTTGGGATTGTGACTCTTGGGTACCTGAAGTAACTTTTGTTGCTACTGTAGCCTTGAATGTCTTTGTCGGTGTCTTTGCGTAACAAAAATTGGTGCATAACAACAGTAAGTTTACTAAAAAGTTATAGGAAGTTACAGGGAGCTAGGTTCTGGCTGAACCTCAGGAAGAACTTCCTGACTGTTAGAGCTGTGCAACAATGAGACCAATGACCTGTGGAGGTTGTGGGCTCTCCCACACTGGAGGCATGCAAGATGCAGCTGGGCAGTCATCTGAGAGGGATGGTTTGACTTGGAGTCCTGCACTGAGCAGAGGCTTGGACCTGATGGACCTCCGGCCTCTTTCAACTCTTCTATTCTATGATGACTCTATGAAAAATGGCAGAGCATGGAATAGTAGGGTCAGAAGGGGCTGAGAAAGCCATTGAGCCCAACCCCCTGCTAGTCCAGAACGCCAGTTACACGATCCCAATTAAATAACTGTCCAAATACTTCTTTAATGTCTCTCGTGTGGAAGAGCACACAACCTCTCTTGGCAGCTTGTGTTACCACTCTCATAGTCAGGAAATTCTTCCTTGTGCCTAGCCTGCAGTTGGTGTACAGTACTTTAGGTTCATTGTTCCATGTCCCTCAAACTTTTTAAAAAGGGGGCCAGCTCACTGTCCCTCAGACTGTTGTGGGGGGCGGACTATAGTTTGAAAAAAGAAATGAACAAATTCCTATGCATAATGCACATTAAACTTTAACAAAAATTAAAATAAACTTAAAAATAATTAAAACTTTTAAAATAAATTAAAAATTTAAAATGTTTGCTCTGCTCCCTTGGGCTGCAGCAGAAGCCCAAGGCGAGGTGGGGAAGAGCATGTCCATATTCAAGGGACATAGCTACAACACAGGAGAGGGTCACGAGGAGGGAGGCAAGGGCTGCTTTCCGAGGCAAGGGAGGTAAGGGACAGGGCCACGGCCACGGCTGTCCAAGCGGGTCGCCTCCTGCCTCTCCCCACTGCAGGGGGAAGTATGGCAGCCACTTGGCGGCGGCAGCTTGCCCAGTTCCCCACAGCAGAGGCACAGGAGCCAAGGCCCTGCTCCGCCCCAGCCTGTCTGCCCCTGGGCTCAGCGAGGCGGCCGCAGCTTGGCCCATAGCCCGGGGACATGGCTCATATACTTAAAAATTGATTTGAAAAGTTATATTTTTCTTACCTTTTTCAGTGTCTTCGTCTCTCTCTATTCCACCCTCCTCTCTTCTGTATTCCCGCTCTGTATTCGGAGCCAACACATGCATGCAATGGGGGGAAGAGCTGGCGCACGTGCAGTTGAAGGCAGCTGTTACAATTTGGTGCATGCACCGGCTCTCTGCTCGGTTTCAGAGAATGCCTGCGCCTGCTCAGAGCTTTTGGACTCGCTCGGAGATCCTTTTATCTGAGTGAGTCCAAAGGCTCTGAGGCAGGCCAGGTAAATGGCCATGGCAGGCTGTATCCAGCCTGTGGGCCGTAGTTTGAGGAACCATGTCCTACAATCTGGGATGAGTGAGAGGAGGTCTTTTCCTTCTTCTTTGTGACAGCCTTTTAAGTACCTATAGAAGGCCATCATATCACTTTGTAATCTTCTTTTCTCAAGGGCCCAGTTCTTTTAGCCTCTCATCATAATACTTATTTTCTAGGCCCTGTATCATCTTTGCTGCTCCCCTCTGAACTCTCTGCAGCCTTTCAGCATCCTTTTAAAACCTTGGTTCCTAAAACTGAACCCTGTATTCCAGGTGGGGTCTGACTAGTACAGAGTAGAGGGGAATGAGTATTTTTCTTTTTCTGGAAGCGATATCTCTATTTATGCATGCAAAAAACAGTGTTTGCCTTTTTTGCGGCTGCATCACATTGCTGACTCATATTTAGCTTCTTGCCTAGAAACAACTCCAAGATCTTTTTCTTTTTCAATACTGTTGAGTCAAGTATTCCCCATCTTGTATTGATGCACTATAAAGCCTAAAAAAGCTAAATAAGGTATTTAAAAGTTATTTTTTAATATACAGAGGAGAAAGGCTGTTTACATACTGTGGTATGGAGTCTGTTATTGTTGGGAAGTGCATGTTGTGGATAGGTTTGCCCGAAAGTATGCAGAGAGGTTGTGGTAAGGTCATTTTCTGCCTGCCAGGAAGTGATGCAAAACTAATCCAGGTTTACTTTGTAAAGAAACTGTTTACATAAGCATTTGAAAACAGATTAAAGCTAACCTGACCCGGCATTACTCGGAATAAGGTAAGCATTGCAGCAAAAACTCAAAAGAGCCTTTATTTTTGTACTTGAAGAAGCATGGCCACAATTCTTTGCTCATACTGAAGTGGCTCTCTGTTTAAAGAGATTACCACAATGAGTGCGGCTATCTTCAGAAGTCAGATTACTTAGGATCTTACTGAGATTACTTCATAAAGGGATCAGCCTTTAACTGTGGGGCAGTGCTCTTGGAACGGAGATGCACTGTAAGTGTTAACCCCAGTAAAAGATTCTGCACGGGTTACTTTTGTATAATTTGGACCTTTATGGTGCACATAGGAACCTATGAAGAACTTAGAAAGTCTAAGTAGCCTCATTAAGTTCATTAAGTATGTCATCCTATGATCATTTCAGTTTCCAAACAGAATGCATGAAAATTGACTAGACATATCAAAATTGATACTAGCATTGTCTTGTATCATTTATAATGGAACAAATAGTCACTATAAAAACTTCTCTTTAGAAAAAAACTTTTTAAAAAAATGTAAGGAGGGTGAGTCAATGAAATCAGTAAATGAATCCTGCTGTTGTTTTAAAGCATAATAAACTGAATTTTACACACACACACACACACACACACACACATAAAAGTTTCAAGACTTTGGGAGTTAGATCAACAGCCTTCATTGCTTTCTGTAACCCACACAGAGTAGCTTTACATGTGAAGTTCTCTTTTTACATACACTGACATGAGTGCAGGGAAGATCATGGTATACACTATAGGATGTGAAGATTCTGCAAGTGTTTGTTTTACCTGAAGTACAGTCATTAGTAACTGGCTACCGAATTACCATTTTCAACCCAGCAAAATACATTCTTTTCCCACATTGAGGGGCTCCTGTGTTATTTTCAAGCACATGTTTCTGTAACACATGCCTCTGTTCACATCCAGGAGCAGATCATATAAAGTGGACTTCAAGAGAATCACAGGTCCGCCCAACAAGGAGTCTTCGTGTGTTGGATCATGTAATCATACTGAAGGCTGGACTCCAAGATTACTGAGTACAGGCAGAACTTCAGAGTTCTGCAAATTTGCCTGAAAGCATCTTCTATTGATTCATTTACAGTAGGGGACACTAGATCATGAACCTTAAGAACATCAGGTGCTAGTAACCACCTGGAACGTCTGCTCCTAGCTGCCCTGGGTGTCTGGTTCAGACAAACATAGGTGCTTCAGGATACTACTCATAAAACAGTGATGGCTGAGCTTCTCAGTAACAAATTTGTATCCCTGGATAAGGTTTGATGTAGCCTGCAGTTCAATCTTGTCATGTTTCATTTTCTTATTCTTGGATAGAACTAGGCAACCTCGTGCCCTCCAGATTGATTGGTCTACATTTCCAATAGTTATTGGCCATGCTGGCTGGGGCTTATGGGAACTGTAGTCCAAAATATTGGGAGGCAGTGATAAACAGTGATTTATGGGAGTATTTGTATAACATAGGAAATGCATCTGCTAAATCTGCTCTTGCTGCTTGTTTGCAGAGATGACAGTTTTTGCTGATTTCTGCTAAAATGCATGGCATATATTAGCATTATAGTGTATCTGCATCTTAAATGCGCAGTTACCATAGCATCTTTTCTACTTGTGTTCCAATATTAAGAAGAGTGGAGCTAACAGCACATTTCTTTAACATACAACTCTGTTCTCCTTTCATCTGTATGCAAATAGAAATGGAAAGTGGCATATCCAGTCCTAACCACCAGATTATTCAAAGTGTTTTTAATGCTAATCTTTGAAATGTCCTCCTTATTCCAACCCAAGTGTCAAATTGTTCTAATTGCTACACACTTTATTTATTTATTTGTTCGTTTCTTCGATTACTAACCCGTCCCATCAGTTGCACAGCTCCCTGTAACACACATATTACAAAGGTCAATACCGGAATAGATCTACAGGGGATGGACAGCCTGATATTGAATCGTATGTGTGTTTGTTTCCCTAGGGAAGAAAAGGAGCACTGGATCCGAGCAAAATACGAACAGAAGCTCTTCCTTGCCTCACTGCAATGCTTAGAGCTCTCCTTAGGCCAGCACCTGCTAAGAGCAACTGCGGAGGAAGATTTGCGAACTGTCATCCTGCTTCTTGCACATGGGACACGAGAAGAAGTGAATGAAACCTGTGGAGATGGGGATGGACGTTCAGCCTTACATTTAGCTTGTAGGAAAGGAAATGTAGTGTTGGTGCAGCTCCTGATCTGGGTAAGTACTTGCTGCATTAATTTGGAACTGTAGGTTTGTGTGATGGAATGTCTGAATCGAGGCTAGCTAGCCTTCACTGGCCAGCAAGTTTCTTCTGCTATCTCCAGTGACTAGAGATAAGAAAGTATTTAAAGTTATTTAGGCTTGAACTACCCTGCCCAGAACTGAGCTGTGCTTTGCATGCATGTGAGCTGTTGCACTGGGGCTTACATGGCAGGGAAACAGCCACACTGTTGACAATGACAGCCGACCACTTTGCCCTTTTGCCCATCTTGGGCCCTCCCCATGTAGCCCCCAAACCATTAGCAAATTTAGCCCTATTTACCCATTCTGAAAAGGGGTTTCCTACCTCTGGTTAAGTGTGGGTGTGGTTTGGCTGTTGTACTGCATTGTGTGAGTTCCTTTTAATAGAGGATGTCTGGGTTCCTCTGACTGATTATGCCTCTGTTTAATGTGCAAGTCCGGCCGGACACAAACCTCAAACATCTGTTTCTTCGTTGTGGTCTCTGTGCGCCACACACATATGGGTGTTGTGCCTGTGCAGTGCCTGTTGCAGGGAGGATTTTACAGCTTTAATGGTTTTGGAGGGAACTCCACGCACCCCTCCCCTGGAGTACCCGCCCCTTTGCCAGTCTGCTTGCAACCACCTTTCACTGTGCCTCAGGCTCTTTTGCTTATCTCATTGCCTTTTACCTTGATAATACTTTCACTTCGATTGCCTTTTTACTTCTACATTGACTTTCCAATATCTTCCCTTTCACTTTGCTAACTTGTTCGCTACCTTCCCAAACTCCACACTACTTGTCCCCTTTCCCCCCACTTCTCTCTCCCCCCGCAAAACAAACAAACAAAAAAACGCCTCCTATCGTATCCTTACTTCATTGACTATAACTCCCTTTTCTCTCCGTTCTTCTCGATGGCGCAGCGGGCGGCTTTCCGTATGTATAGCCAGTGCGGAGCAAAAATGTCCCCAACTGATCCGCACTCTCTCTGCTTCCTCTACCTCAGAGAGGGCCATAGAATGAGTAAGTGTAGCCATTGCCAGTCCTTCACAAGGCAGGCTAGAAAGAATCAGGATAATAGATTGAAGAAAATCCTATGGGACCAGGCTCTTGTTGCAATGAAGGAGGTCACGGCAGCTGCCTCGTCTGCTACTCCCGCTTCTGCTAAGAGTGCCCCCTCTCGCCAACCTCAAGGGGATGGCACTGGTACTGATGGCAAGAACTCCACTCAGCCTCCTTCTCCTAAAAAGCATAAGGAGAAGAGGAAGCATACTAGATCTGAAGGGGCCACAAAACCAAAGTGCCCTAAAAAGGAAAAGACTGAGCGCCGCCATAAGAAGCACCCTCAGGTGCCACGTCCGGACACTTCCAATCTGCCGCCCATCTCAGCACCTCGGTCCTGACCAAACTGTCTGGCTGCCAATCTGTTATGCAGGTGACACCACCATCGTCACTTCCGCGCATCCTGCTCTCTCCCCATTCCAGCCTGGAGCTCCCAGAAACAGTGGCACGAGCTTCCATTTCAGATGGGGAGATCCGTGAATCGCCTCCTCCATCAGATCCTGATCAGCAGACCACGAAATCACTGACTCCCAGTCCAGGTGGCCAGTCATCACCAGAGGCATCTCCAACGACCTCACAGGGTCCATCCTCGTTCCTCCCACTGCAAGCTCCGAGCTGCCAGCCCGCCAGGTATTGGATGCTGCTACCTTATGGAGATTTTGATCCCAACCAGCTGGATCGTGCTTATCCATGGAATTTCTATCATCCATAGAACTATCCCTACCCACTACCACCAACACGTCGCCATCATTCCACCTCCATCAACATCTGGGGATACTCCATCCAAGTCTGCTGTGGCTATCTCTCATCCACACCTGTCTCTTGACGGCTTTTCCTCCTCAAGTCCTCCATATCAATCGGATTCAGATTTGGAGGAGTCTCAACAGGCTTTGACATCTCCTGATGTTATTATCTCAACTCGGGGCTTGGGATCGCCCGGTGTTAGCCAAGGCCATTTTTCCAAACTGCTGGTTCACATTCTTTCCTCCCTCAAAATAGACATACAACAGCACATCGATCCCAACCAAGACAATATATACAATGTTGTCTGGAAGGAGGACACAGTCCCAGTAGCTCTGCCTTTTATAGCAACACTCCGACAGGCGATGATGGAATCTTGGCAACTCCCGAACCATCCTCACCCAACCTTCCGGCACCTTGAGTCAATGTACAAAGTCAGGGAACAGGACATTGCCTTCTTACTAAAGCATCCACAACCAAACTCCATTGTGATTGAGTCCAGCCAAAGTCATCAGTCCAGAGAGCACGCCACACCAACTGACTGTGAGGGGAAGAAGACTGACATGATGTCCCACTGGATCTACACTGTTATGGGACTCGGTCTTCACATCTCCAACTGTGAAGCCACAATGACTCACTACCAATACTTTTTGTGACAGAAGATCGAGTCCCTCGCTGAATTCCTCTTGGACCAACAGAGAGAACTGGCCCACATCTTCATCGGGGAGGCAATGCAGCTCCTTAAGCAGCAACTGACTATGGCGAGGCATCATGTTGATTGTGGCTCGAGGGCGCTCATCAGTGAGGTCGCCCTCAGGTGGCATGCCTGGTTGTGGGCCGGAAACCTCCCACAAGAGACCAAGCAGCGTGTTGAGAATATGCCTTTTGATGGCATGGGTCTTTTCCATTCTAAGACTGATGACAAATTGGAAAACATCCATAAAGCTCGTCTCACTGCTCGCAGAATGGGATGGACTGCTACTCAATCTAAACGTAAGTGGCCTTGGAATAAGCCTGCCCAGTACCGGCCCTTCCAATCCTACCACCAGGGATACCCCTCCGGACGTCAGCCTTTGAACCAAGAGCAGCCTCATCCCCACCACAGCGAAGCGCCTTGCTACCAACAGCCCCAGAGTTGCGCGGACAATGACAAGCGCAAGGAACTTGGCATGGCCACAAGACTACCAGACATATCAACTACCCAAAAGTGCTGGCAGTATTCAAGGCATTACGTTCTTTTCTAACCATTCTACAAGGTCACTCTGTCCAAATTGCATCAGACAACGCGGTGACTGTTTTATATCAACAAACAGGGAGGAACAAGATTGGTCCCGTTGGGACACCTTGCTCTTCGCATCTGGAACTGGTGCATCACTCACAAGATCACCCATCAAGCTGTTCCTCTTGCCAGCACCAAGAATGAAGAAGCCGATTCCCTCAGCAGACACATGTCCATGACCCACAAGTGGGAGCTAGACTGTCAGGTCTGCCAAGATCTTTTTGAACTGTGGGAAATGCCGACTGTAGACCTCTTCACCACCCACAGGAACTTGGTTCGCAAAACCTACTGCTCCAGAGCAGGCATCGGCCTGAATTGAATCGGGGATGCACTCATGATCTCATGGGAGGATGAGTTTTTCTACGAGATCCCCCCAATCCCACTAATAACACAGACATTGGCAAAGATTTATCACAACAATGCTTACGATATTCTAGTCACCCCGTGGCGGCCTCAACAGTCCTGGTTCCCCACTCTACTTCAGTTGTCCAAGAAAGTTTACATTCATCTACCTCAGATCCCACACCTCCTAACCCAAGAACAATGCACTATACGTCACGTGGATCTATGCTCTCTGAAGTTCACGGCTTGGCTCATCCGATAGCCTTCGGATGCAAGGCTATGCATCCGATGCAATCAACATCTTCGATACCAGCATCATCCTCTGCACATAGGATAGCTGCACATTCATTCTCTTCAGTACTGGCATCATCCTCAGGACGGATAGGAATGCCTCCAAAGTCGCCTACTTCATTACCAACCATCTCTTCAATATCAACACTCTGTCCAGTACCAGCGCTGCACTTGGGACCGACATTGGTACCAACAATATCCATGAATGCAACAAATCTTCATCCAGACATTCAGTTTATTCTACATTTGCATTGCAGCCAAATACACAATGTTCTGCAATGCCAAATGGGGATGTTTTACCTCCTTTGCTGCTGCTAACCAATTCCTGCCTCAATCTGCCACTATTGAGAACATCTTACAATTCCTACTCTTGTTACACCGTGGGGGTCTCAAGCCTTCCTCCATTAAGGTATATATTACAGCCATCTCACATCACCGAGGATGCATTGGAGGTTTGTCCGAATTCTCCCACCAGCTCATACATCACTTTTTATGAGGAATACAAAACCTTCAACCTCCAATCCGATCAGTCATCCCAACGTGGAACCTCTCCATCGTCCTACAGGCTCTGACTAAACCTCCATTTGAACCCATGGCTACCGGCGCCCTTCGGCTACTCTCTTGGAAAACTGCTTTCCTGGTCACCATCACATCGGCGAGGAGGGCCAGTGAACTGTGTGCTCTGTGTGTTGACCCTCCATACCTCAATTTTCAGAAAGAGAAAGTAGTCCTCTACATGGACCCTACCTTTCTTCCTAAGGTAGGAGCACCCTTTAATCTTAATCAAGACATTGTTCTGCCAACATATTTTCCTGTGCCATCGACACCAATTGAGCGTTCCCTACATAATCTCAATGTACACAGGTCCCTGGCTTTTTATTGATCACGCACAGAGTCATTCAGGAAGACCAAATGCCTCTTTGTCAAATACTTAGAAAATGATAAAGGAGCACCAATAGGGACTCAAAGACCGTCAGAATGGCTCATGGAAACGATTGAACTTTCTTACTGTCTGGCCAAATTGGATTTTCCGGTTGCTTCAAAAGGACACTGTATGAGGGCTGCTGCCGCCTCTTCTGCTCTCTGTGCAGGCATTCCAGTTCACGACATCTGCAAAGCGGCCACATGGTCGACTCCATGCAGCTTCACGAGACACTACTGCTCAGACATCAGGGCCAGGCAGGACTGCTCCTTTGGCTGTGCCATCTTGTCAGCAGTTCTTCAGTGACGACACCGTCCCACCTCCAGGTGGGGTAAGCCTGTTAGTCACCCATATGTGTGTGATGCACAGAGACCACGATGAAGAAAGGCAGGTTGCTTACCTGTAACTGTCATTCTTCAAGTGGTCATCCGTGCATTCACACAACCCGCCCACCAGCCCCACTTCGGTGTTGGTGACTGGGTACATATCAGTTTTTCCCTCATGGTACCATGGCTTTCTACCTTGCTAGTCTCAGCTGGAAGCAAACAGGTAGTCTTCAGCTGGCTGGTGAAGGGGCAAGTACTCTGCCCATTTATACCAAGGTGGGGCACGGAGTTCCTGCCAAAACCATTAAGCTGTAAAATCTTCCCAGCAACAGGCACTGCGTGGGTGCAGCACCCATGTGTGTGTGAATGCACAAATGACCACTCAAAAAACAAGTTACAAGTAAGCAACCTGCATTTCTCTTTTTCAGTCTTGACAAGCGCAAGCTGGTGCAAACCCCTTGTAGCTGCTAGCAGCAAAAAACGGATGTGTATCATAACGTTGAAGTTTGCTGCCCCCTTGGAGCACCTGCGTTCACAGGGTTGGAAGGGTACTCAGGAGAGCAAGCAGGAGTGCTGGCCTAGGCTTTTGTCGTGCAGTGCATAACAAATGCTGCTCAGGTTTAAAATCCCAGAGTAATGTTCCTCATCTTAATCAGAGGTCTCTTTCTGTTAGGCTGCTCTGTCCACTATTGTTTCAAAGTAACCACAGAGCTTTGATTGCTGTGTCTTCTTTCCACAGTATGGTGTTGATTTTATGGCCCGTGATGCCCATGGAAATAGCGCGTTGGCCTATGCCAGACAAGCAGCAAGCCAAGAATGCATTGACATCCTCCTGCAGTATGGTTGTCCAGACGAGCGCTTTGTTCTCATGGCTACACCTAATTTGTCCAGGAAGAACACTAACAAGAACAACAGCAGTGCGAGGATGCCCACCATCATCTGAACAATTGGGTTCTTGTTTTCTGGCATTACTAACATGAACACCTCATATTACGCATAACTTTGACAGCAGAGTCTATAAAATATTCCATCTCCTTTTCTCTTCAGTCTTCACTTTCTCCAGGAGAAAAATTGCCTGGATATTGTAAAGAGACAAAAAAGAGAAAAGAGGACTGCAGGAACCATTTGTTTTAATCAAAAGATCTTGAATGATGAAACTGTAAAAGGGAGGGAAGACAAAGAGAGGTCATGGATTTACTAATGGTAACACATGACATGGGACCATTTGATTGGGCGTCTCTAGGCAGGGCTCTTACAAGTACCGCATGAGAGTTACTGGAGGGAGACAGCAGAGGGAAGAGGAGAAGGAATTGTAACTTTCCTTAACTGACAGTTAAGCACATTAGTACATTTCACCTCCACCAAACTGAACATTTGGATTTCATTCTCTTTTCCGAAGAGCTTGACGGCATAAATCAGAGGCAAGCACAGAGTTTGTCAGGTTTGAAGCTCCTATGATGGTATGTGTCAAATCAGTTGTAGCTAATCTGTCCAGGGAGAATACTGGCTTCATTACACTTGTATAGTTGAGTTCTTCCAGCATTACTGCTGTTTAATAGAACATGATTAGTCATCACGGAGAAAAAAGCATATTAGCTGAGGAGGTAGTTACATGGCACGCTTCGGTGATTGCTTGGATGTGATTGCAATATTCTTAGAAGCATCATATTATCTCAGACATGTTCTTTCAAGCCCTTGGAGCCCTCCTTTCTAAATTCACTGTCATAATTTAGTATCTGTTTAATTTTTCAGTCGAAAGAGAGGAAATCAGTTGCTGAGTGTTATTTGACTGCAGCCTCCTTGGTGTAAAAACAGAATGGAAAAAATAAATAAGAAAAGCTATGAAATGCAAAAAGGAATAATGAATACTGCTAAGGAAATGATATTTGAAGTACATTTATGAAAATAACTACATAAAAGGCTATTTTTCAGTCATGAAAAATACACTGTCACTTTGGCCAAGGTAACTGTGTTGAATTTTGGTCATTCTTGTGGTGCATTACCTAAGTTATATAGATTTTGTGTTGTGTCCTTAGGTTATATGTATATAAAAATCTATTAGAATTTTTAAACATTTATGCATATGCATTGATTTTTTCACAAAGCAAATACATTCTTTAATTTATAAACTGTAATTGATGCAAAATAACGTGCATGTAGTTAGGATCTAAGGGATCACATATTATAGTGATAGATCATGAAAACATTCCTAGCAAAAATAGGTTTTTATTCCTTTGATGAAGAGCATATCTGATGAAGGTTTTAGCACATGTTTACAGGAAATGTGCAGAGAAATATGGTTTGGAAGGACAGGTCGTTGTCTTCCAGAAGCACAAACAGCTCTTCATTTTATGTTTCATGCTGTTGTTGTGGAGAATGACTGGGAACCCTGTGCAGGGTGTTCCAGTATCGGACTATTCCATACATACCCAAAACATGGCCTGCCGTTCCTCTTTAAAATGAGCATGGCTTCTTGTTTTCCAATGTGGATCTCATGGCATGGGATGACTTCTGTGAGGGGACCTGTACTTAATTCTAGATGACAATTACTATTTCAGTTCTGTTAGCACTATGACTCTGAACTGAAAGGCACGACGAGGAAAAAGAGCATGTTGTAGAGGATTAACATTTCTTACAATTGAGCAGAAATAGAGTACAGGCTTCTTTTAAATCAGATGAATATACAGTCTCCAATAAGAGACTATACATTTCCCTGCTTTTAACAGTCCCATTGCTTGAGGCTGTTATGTTTCCCTTTAAGTAAAACTAATTGTAGAAAATACAACCTAGAAATGTTCTTTGTTTTGAAGGGAAGGGATAAAATGTGCCATTCCACCCAAAATCAGAGAAGCCTCAGTGCCACAGACAGGAATGTTTAACTGGTCAACTTACTCCCTTTTATTTGGCTGTGAGCAAAACAGACCTCTTTCCCTTTCATTGCAATTTCATGACATGCATGTACATTTGTACATATTCAAGCAAATAGTACTTTAAGAATAGCTTCCTCATTAGCACTTCTTATTTGACACTAGCTGTTGGCCCATGTCTTCATTTCATCCATGAACAGCCAAGTTTACACATTCATCAGAGCCTGGGGCAGCAGAACATCCACTATTTATGGGGAGTTGATGTGAAGGACTCCTTTACTGGGCAAGGGGCAATTTGCTTTCCTTTATCCTGGCAAGTTAGTAAAGCAAGGCTTCAGGAAAGGCATTTTAAGGGTACAGAAAGTAATTACTGTGTCTTGACTTCATTTGGGGTGCTTTCAAGCATGACCTTTGTGAAGTAGCTGCAACCTCACGTGGTGGATGCAGCTCATATCACCTTGTCCCGAGTTTCAGTAGATTGAATGCATCTTTCTTGTTGTGGCTATCTAACACCTTTGAAATGTAGGTCCAAAGCAGAAACGCTTTCTCAGCGCTACCCATTTCAGCTACCGTGCTTGTCTTCCAATATCACCCCCCCCCCCCACAAGTAACTATGTCTAAAATAATGGCAACCTTGTAATGATCACCTTGAGCTCTTGTAGCATGCAACAGTAAATGCTTTTGTAAGGGCAACAAAGCCATGTTCTGAACGGAATGTCAACATATCACCTAGCTACATTCCACCACGTTTACATATTTCATTTGCAAAGCTTTGTTCCTTGCAAGGAAGATTTGCAAGAGGGTAGTATCTTTTGGAAGTGAGTGTGTATCATTGAAAATGTGGTAGATTTTACAAGCCCAGGGTGTTAGCCTTTCACTGTAGCTAGAGCATTGGCATAATTGTGTTTGGACTAGCTGTTCTCCTTGACCTACTGACAGTGTCAATGCTTTAATAGATTGTGGGGTAATTTAACATTCTGAATGCAGATATTTTAAGGGATTTCTGCAGGGAAGCATCATATGCCTATCCATTTTGTAGCATTAAAAACATTAGGAAAAGGAAGTTCATCTTTAGGTTGTCTGAATCAGTGTGATGGTAGAAACCCAGGGATCTTTTCATACACATAATAATTTTATTTTCATATATATTTTAATGCTATATGTAATCACTTTTTGCTTCCTCCCTTCCATTAGGAGTGTGCACATGAGGGTGTTAACACTCATATTAAATACATACTGGTGTGTGTGGGTGCACGTGTGTGCATGTGTGTGTATATCCTAATATTGCTGAACGTTAGACATTTGCACAGCATTTACATATATGGTTTGCTGAAAGTAGTTTTAAAACTATTGTGCAGGAAGGGTTTTTGGAACTTTGATGTGAATCATATAGCAGTAGCAATCTCAGGCCTGTGTGAACCTCCAGTCTTTGCTAATGATTGCACAGTATGGCAAGTATGTTTGTTGCATAGACTAGCTGGTCATACTTTGAATCAAATATAGTCCTGCATATTATTCCGGATTCCTTCCTGAATTTACACATAGGAGAGCAGTAATCGATGTTTACCAAATATTTCCAATAGTTTTCATGGTTCATAAATTTGTCAGCTGTCCAGCAGGAATTTGATTGCAATTAGAAATGAGAATTCATTGACAAAAAGTACTTCTAGGAATGGATCTGTACTGAAATGCCTCTTGAGAGCATAAGAAGAAAAATACATTTTAAAAGAAAGCAGTAATTGTCTAACTATATATCTCTTTCTTAATTCACCTACCTCTGTGCCTTTGTTTCTTAGCTACCCTTCCTTCCTTTGTAAAACACAGCCTATTCACCAAAATGACTGAATCCTAGGAGTATATGTGCAAATTAAGATGCAATTAAAATATTGTCGATAAGAAATCGCAGTAGGGATCATCTGGAGAGCTAAATCATTCTCCTTGCTCAAAAATGAGTCTGTTGTGAATATTGTTAACGTCCTTCACTTAAATTAGATTCTTACCTTCCACTTTTAACCATTAAATGCAGAGCAATTGGCCTTTCTAATCACCAGTTGATGTTGCACTGTGGAAATCAGGTTGCCAGCTGTTGAAATAAAACATTGTGGTACCAGGTTGGGCTTGCCAGTGGTAGCCATACAGAAAATTTCATTCAGCTATAGTATATGCCTTTGGATAGGCATACAGTGCCTCATGCTGTCTGACCACACACCTATGCAACTGTCAGAAGAGATGAACTAACCTACAAGCAGAGTCCAAAACTCAATAAAGCAACAAGCAGCTTGTAAAATTGTATGCATACTTTGCATGGTGATGGCATTGAACATTCAAAAAACCTATTTTTCGGATTGAAACTGAGCATCAAAAATATTTACCCATTTGATTAAAGCTGAAACTACTGTCAAGGACTATGAGTGGCTCCATAGGAAAAAACTCTAAAATCTCCCATCTCCTTTCCTTTCATAAATGCATGTATGAACGTACAAGACCAAAACTGACTTTTGTTTCTCTCTCTGTCTTGTGCACGTGTACTATACACAGCAAGTTTGACCTGTCTCCTCTAACAAGGAGCATAGTACTATACAGCTGTGGCTGATCCCAGGCGGGCCAATGAATAGTTACCAGGCTGGCAGTGGGGACTCGCCCTCTGGAGGAAGAGCTGAGTGGCCCTGCTGGCAGCGTCACATCCCCAGACGGGCAGTGGCAATGGCGGTGCACTTCCTCTGCGCTGCCTCCCTGCCCCATGCCACGCCCAGCAGCTGCACCGCACTCACCATCCCTCTCGTGGGACGTGCGCAGCGTCCCAGCCGGCATCCAGAATGGCTCCATGGGAGCCACACAGTCATCGGGCTGCTTTCCTGGCTAGAACAGTTGGTGCAACCAGGAACTACGGCCAGGCACTACGGCCAACTCGAATGTCCTGTGCACAGGCTAGAGCTGCTCAGGCAAGCACACTTGTTCCTCTGCCTGCCCGTGATGCAAGCAAACAGTCTTTCTTTCTCCTCTTTCGTCGGTAGCCTGGAACCTAAATCCCTCCCCACCTTGTCAAGGTGGCCGGGAGGAAATGTGGTCCCATGGCAGCCCTATATGTAATGATAGCATGAATTCACATGTGCACCTTCAGAGGTGGCTAGAAAATCAAAGGATGTCTTTGGTCCAAACTGAATTACATGATGTCTGTTAACATTCAGGAGTCCAATCTTAAGTGTACGTTCCAGTTAAACAGAATTCTGTGTCAGCTCATAGCATCTCTCATGAGTTTAGCCATGTCCACGCATCTAATTCTATGGTCTCTGCTCCATACCTTATATATGTTCACTATAAAAGGATACTGAATAGCATAATGTAGCATGGGTTGTGAGGCCTATACTGACCTCCATTTTTCTGGCAAGCTTGCTTTTGCATATTTTAAAATGACTAGGAAAATGAAATATGGATATAATAAATGTCAAGCACAGATTTTGTTAGTAGAATTTATAACTACTGTCTTGTAGATCCATGTTTATTTGCTTTAGCTGTAACTGCTTGAGAATGCACATGTAAAGGACCAAACATTTGGTCATATTTTTGTGAAAGAAAATTATTACAATTCCATTTGCCAAATTTTATTTTTAAAGATCTTTAATGCCCCACCATTTCTTTTTTTCAACAGAAATAGGATAAGGAGAGACAATTTTCCTTTTTGCTTCTGTAGTCCAATATTTCTAGTATATTTTAGATTCTGTAATTTATACAATTATAATATCTATTGTGTGAAATAATACATACAATTATGTGAAATAATAACTTTTTAAATTACTAAGCTTAGTGCACAATCCTATGGCTTTCTGACATCTTTGAGGAAACCGCAGAATTTTTCAGTGTCCAAAGACAGGGCTTGACTTTGAAGGCTGAGTCCTCACCCTGCCACCTCAGAAGCAACCCAGAAAGAACTGCATTGGCTCCCCTCCACCCAGGTCACAACTGAGCCTCAGAGGGGAAAGGGTGGAAACTGCCAGAGGGAAGGGAGGAAAGGAGGCTCGGGTCATGGATTCGCCCCAATTCCAGTTGGTATCCTTGCCTCCCTTGCTCTCCATCACTGGGCCTACATCCAGACAACCAAAAGTGCCCCCCAAATAAAATGCAGGGCATGAGACCCAGTGATGACCAAAGTTGCAGCTGCTGCACCTTGCCACTTGTAATGAATGCGTATAAGTCTCCTAGTTTGGAGGGTTAAAAGCAATCTCTCACAAGGACAATAGGATTGTGCTCTTACTCTTTCAGATAATTCTTTCAGGTGAAGCTGTTTGAATAAATGGTGAGTCTGTGTTGTGAATGTTAGCTATTTACTTTGTATTAAACTATAGAAGAGCTGCTGAGGTGCTTCCACTTGAGAAAAACAATTCTTAACCTAAAATACAGGTATTTTTGCCAGTTCGGATATGTTTTAGCACTCCCTATACTCTTCAGCCTAGTCAAGTTGTGAGTCCTGGAGGAAATTTCCCAGAAAGGTGTATAATTTCCCTGCTGACCTGGTGTTTTTTGCCCTGCTCCAAATATTTTTGCACGTCGTGCCCTCCCCGTAACTTGCTGCTCTTGTGAGTATCTTGGCTCTCTTGAATCAGGTTACAGTACTGTGGATGAGTTCTGATAACAAGAATATTCCCTGTTGTCGTTGTTTTACTAGGCAGACTTGCTTAAGGTAGGAGATTTATTTATGTTCATTGTGAAAATCACTAATTTGTAGAGCCCCTTCCTCAACAGGCCTGTGTTCCAGACTAGCTTATAATACCAACATTCTGTTGCACTGCAAAGAGATGGTGCAGTTCCAGTATTCCCTTCTCACAGACATATGTTCAGTATAGTCATGTTAGAAAAGTGCTCACAAGGTTGTTCCCACAGCTGCCTCACCTGGTGATCTTTAGCACAGAGACCACATTGTAGAGCAAAGGTTCAGTAGAGCTACCCCACCCGGGAAGTACCAGCAACTACAGGGGTAACTCCACAGCCAGTTCAGGGAGCAAGCAAGTCCTCCAGGAAAGAGTGCTCATGTTTGTGCAGTGTTTGCTACATTTCGTGGAGACAGGGTGGGGGGTGGAAAACCAGCCTGAGGGGGTCCGGCATGGAACAAGTGGGGGATCTCTCCAATAATGGCTACAGAGTTTCTGATACACCAGCCAGTACGTATCTCCTCTTTCACATGTTTCTTCCCACTTCCAATTGTTCACAAATATACAGGATGTCTCTATAAAAAACTAGTAGGTTGTAACATCTATGTAGATCAAAATATATTCAGGTTTTTTGGTTATACATATAGTAAGACTAATTTGAACCTTATTCTTTCCTATTTGTCCTTACGAAGTGTTAGGGAAGGAAAAACCCAGTGTGAATGCCCAAAGGCTAAAGATGCGGAGATTTCTCACTCACGTGCGAATCTTATAAGCCATATATGGTATGTCAGACTCTCAATGGACACTTTAGGAGAAATTATGAAATATGGATGTCAAGGAAAGTGTGACATACTCACATCTTTAAAATGCAAAGTAGGGAAAATTAATGTCTGAAGCAGCCCTAAAACTTTAAAACTGGCCAGACCTAAAAACAGAAATGTAACTGAAGAAATACATGTTCATTTTTTAACCTCAAGGGATATACAGAACAGTAGGCCTTAATCATGCTTGAGAAAGGAGCTTGCAAAATTTTGAATATGCCATGGAATATAATTGGAGGGTAACACACGGATGGGTGCATCTGATGAAGTGGTTCTGGCCCATGAAAGCTTATGCCACTATATAGTACTTAGCTTTTGAGGCACTGCAAGACTCTTGGTTGTTTTTGCACAGATAGGTGCAGTTTATCACCTCTAATTTTAGATACCACAAATACCTTTATGTAACTCTGCAGCTGAAATCAGGTCTGCAGAGCTAAGCATTCAGATATACAGTAATAAACATATATGCACAAATCCAAAAGGATATGAAGTGGGTCTTTACAAGTATACATGAATGAATGTAAATAGTTCCACAGAAATGTGCGTGTTGCATGGATAAAGTAAGAAAGTTGAAGACTTTACTGTATATGAGTGTCTGATGAATATACGGAATTCCTGCTTAGAGCAGGAGGATAAAAGGCCAAATTAAATGTTACCCACGAGGGAGGACAAACATTTCCTTATGGTGTTTGTTTTTAATGTAATGCTACTGCAGGGGGCTCCAATGTAACTGAGCCCATGGGGAGAGAATATATAGCTATTTCCCCATAACCCTCTTTCCCCATTAAAAAAATCTCCCCATACGCTTTTCTCCCTGCAGGGGAAAAAGCTATGTAAACACAGTATCTTTCTTTTTGCAGTGAGTCAAGCACAAGGGGAGGGTGATTTTTTAGTAGTCAGATGACTGATCGGGAAAGAGTTAAATATCCTCTTCCCACTGCTGCTGCTGCTCCAAATTTGGGGACACTTGACAGGGCTGCATTAAAATCAAATAAGAGCCATCAGGAGATGCTTCAGGTCTACAGCACTGCATTTAGTTTGGCCTAGACAACATGCTTTGAGCATCACGGATTTTTTTAAAATATGAATGCATGACTTTCCTCTTTTTAAAAATAAGTTGTTGTTGCTGTTGTTGTTGTTGTTCTTCTTATTATTATTCCTACTACTACTATTACTATTATTATCCTATGCTGATAATGAACATGTCACAGCTCAAGTTATGCCATGTGTGTATACGACTCGCCAGCCCTGTGATCACTGTGATTTAATATATTTTAAGTCAACGTATGGCGCTTTTGTCCAGGAAGGTGGAGAAAATTGAAAATACAGGATGAGCAATGAATTGAGCAGGAGTTGATTTTTTTTTTCAATATAACACTCTCATTTTAACATTGCAACATTTAGCTAGATGGTTAATTTTGACTCTGGAACTGACAAACTGCTTTTCTGCAGTCAGTTTTTTGTTTTTTGTTTTTTTTTTATAAATGGCATTTCAGGTTTTACTGCCACTTGTACAGCATTTGTATATAGGGATTGCTGAGAAACACATGCTGAGCAGGGAGTTTACAAATTTAAAGTGATGATTGGGTAATTATTATCCTAAAACTTCCGCTACCTCTTCCTTTATGTGTTGTTCCTTCTATTGTAAAAATATATATATATATTATGTTGGAGGGGCTATACATATTAGTCTAAAGTGGCTGTTTTGGGCAGTCCATAATTGGTTTTTGTGTTGCTTGTTGAATTACATATTTCCCTTTTTGCCATCTGGTTGAAACTGGAGGAAAGCCACGAAAGCCACCAAGGTTGACTAGGTTTGCCAGCTCTTCATACTCAGACAAGACATATTGCAAAGCACAGCTGGTCAGTATTGTCTAAAATGCAAGCATCTGGTTGGATTTCACAGTAGCAGTTCATATATAAAATGAACCTCATTTTATTCTGCAGTACTACTAGTGAAGACAAATCGTAGAAGCCAGTGACACTACTCCAGCACCTGAAGGATGACAGTCCAAACCCTACAGCTTTATTTTCCAAAGCAGGCGATCCCAATCTGTTCTGTGTCTGGGATTACATGGGTTGCTTGGTCTTTAGCTAAAACCTTGTCCAGGACGTGATGGACTGTGTGGAGGCCTGCCTCTCATGTTCTTGGTGGTCAGAGCCATCTAAATACTGCCATCCAGTGTGTGGTGTTGAGGGGGAGCAGGTCAGTTGCCATCACTCCCACCTGTCCCAAGCGTCCAGTTTCTATCCTGCCCTTCTGGAGGTGACCATGCAACCTACTTGCTGAAACCTTTGATCTCCAAAGGACCAGGGATGGGGGCCCTCAGACCAGAGGCCAGTCCTGGCCTTCCTGGTGACCTCTCTCATCTACTCCTTCCCGCAAACACAACTCATTTTCCCAGCTTCTGTGCAGCATTTCCCTTACCCTTGAGGTGGCTTTCCTAAGGCCTAAATGCTGGCATTAAGTACTGTCAGCTAATATATGGAGGTAATATTTGTACTTCTGGCCCCAGTCCTTTCTGCTTCACCCCACCTGCCATTGGCACGCAGCCCCCGAAAGCTCAGATTCTGCATTTGGCCATGAGACTGGCAGAGGCTCCCTGTCGCTGCCAGAGAAGTATATATCTGGGTCCCATGAAGAGTATGTTCGTTTTTTTCCTAACTGTATTATAAAAGAAACAGGATAAGACATTATGAGTAAATCAATAGGTGGTTTTAAAAATCTTTCAGATCTCCTGCCAAAGCTCCCTATTTAGTTATGTTTCATGCATACCCATGCAAGACTTGACTGCTTGGCATAATCCTCGTGGGCTCCTGTGGAAGATAAGCACGTGCTTCCATTCTTTCCAGATTCAGTACTGAGCTGTAGCTTCAGACCCACAATCATGCAACCGACGTGATTACTGAAATTAGGACTAGCGTGTGATCTACTAGCATGATTGCAGGGTTTTATTAAAATAGGAGGTAATTGTCCAAACGTGTGTGGTGGTAGCGAGATAGCACATCAGATGTTATTTGATCCGATTTTTGCAGAGCATTTATATTTTATTTTACAAAACATTGTGTAATACTTAGTGACCTAGGAGTAAGGGAGCAGGGGATTTTCATGGAATGAGGTGGAAAATACCTAGCCAATGGCTTACTTTTTGTTTCTGTATATAATGTACAAATGATAATGACACAGCAGTGTGAAAATTTTAAAAAAGAGTTTTTTGAGTTTTTTATTACCTCATTCAACAAATTTGTTTTACAAAGACTCAATGACACCTTATTTATATTGTTTGTACTGTAATTAAAAATATTGATACATTTCACTTTGTGTATTGTTTCATATGATCCTGTTTGATTAAATATGTCCATGTATATTATGTTTCCCTCTTACTTTCCTTACCCTGGATTTTTTGTGTCAGCTGTACAGTATTCCTGAGTTTTTAAAATGTTGTAAAGTAATGCAAGGAGAGAGACAGTTCTATTGAACAGGTCTCTTTCTAATAAAGATAAGGAAACATGCTTGGTTCCCCTGCAGTTTTTCTCCTTTCACCTCTTGCCATAAAAGTAACTGCAGATATTTTCTTCCTCTTCTCCATAAGTGATAATACTGTGTCTATATGAAAGGAATATGCAGAGCACGTCTTCAACCAATGAGCCATGAACTGCCCGCTTTCTGCATATGTCTATGACAGCCCAAAGTCTGTTTTCAAGGTACCATCACACCCATGCAAATACACATGGTAGATGTTCATCAACATGTTTGTGTCATTAGCTTGTATACTGACATACCTAATCATCCTTCATTGTGGTCTCTGTCCCTCACATATTTGGGTGCTGCTCCTGCACAGGGCCACATTTGGGAAGATTCCTCTAGCTAAGCCTAGAAATTTGACAGGAGCCCTGCCCCCTTCCCTATTACATAAACAGGCAGGCTCCCACCATTTTCTTGGTTCAATTTCAACCATCATTTGCGGTGCCTCAGGATCTCTAGGTATACAATTACCTCAGACTTTTCCTCACAAGAACCTTTCTCGTGTTTCTTATGCCTTCTCGATCTTCAGGTCGCCCTTTTTCCAATCTTTTCACTCAAGTTCACTACCCCCTTTCTTCTTTGAAACCCCCCTTATATCTCTCACAAAAAGATTTAAACCGCCCCCCCACACACACACACACACTATTGTCTTCCTCATATCAATACATCTTGTCTTCCTTTCTCCTTCTGATGACTCTCAAGCCAGCGTTTCATAAGTGGGCCGAATGCAATGTCAAGATTCCTTCAAGCAATGGCCACTCATTATGCCTCCTCTGCTTGGAGGAGGAACATCATGTGGGCAAGTTTCCACACTGCCAGGGTTTCACCAAGCAGGCCTTTAAAAACAGGGCTGGTCATCTCAGGATGGAGATAAGGGAGCGTTCTCTAGGCACCACAAAGGATGGCACTAGCAGCGAGGGTGAAAGCCCCTCAACTTCAAAAGAGGCCACAAAAAAACCCTCTTCAACTGGTGCTATGGGCAAGTCAAAGCCGTCCTCGGCAGCCGGCAGCCTCAAAATTGTTGGCTACCTCTGATATGCCTAAGGGGAAGAGAAAGCACCTCGAGTCCAAGGGCCATAGGCAGGCTAAAAAGGCACAAAATCTTAAGCAACGCTCCTCTTCTGGCCATTCCGAGCATGAAGGCTCACCAAACCGCCCAACTGCTCTGACCACCTTGTCTGCTCCCACCACACTACCAACAAGCCTCTCCATCCTGCCCCGCAATTGCTCTGATTCAGTTGGACCACACTGGGATCCAACCTGACCAGGCAGCACCACCATAAGGAACGATTCACAATTTGCCTATTTGGTCTCCCACAGCTGCAACCTCTCCCGTTAATTCGGTGTACACCCCACACCATGGAATGAGCGTCGAACCAGTGCCTCACACACCCCATCCATTTGGTCCAACCTTGTCCAACCTGTTGCCAATGTCACCACCATTCTGTGCACAGCTTTGAACTGACAGCACAATTGTACGGGGGAACCCACGCTGAGGAGTATATTCATCCTCAGGGCAATACTTGCCAAGATATGAATGGGAACATGCCACAGACCCCCCGCCTATGCATGGCCACCATCCCCAAACAAACTGATGTAGCACTGGTCAACACCAAGACCCCTCTGACATCCCAAACCTGACCCAGGCACCTCTATTCAACAACAGCCTGAGAGTGTCCAAATATTGCCGTCTTTGTTAATTGGGTCCAACTCATCAGATCCAATGGACTATGCCTCTGTTTCCAACTTGGCAGATTCCACAGAACCCGTCTCTACCTCTCTAGATAATGCCATTTCCTCCCAAGGCCTGGGATCCCCAGGGGAAAGCCTTGTTCACTTCTCTGAGCATGTCCTCCAGATGGCCACATAATTAGGCATCCAGGTTCAACAAATTACGGAGCCTAATGACGATCTCATCTATGACGTGATCCAGATGGAGGACTCAGTTCCAGTATCATTACCTTTCATACCGACACTAACCAGAGTGATGAAGGAGCTCTAGAAGTTTCCTAACCAACCACATCCCACTTCCCACCAACTGGAAGGGATGTAATGGGTACAGGGGAGAAACTTTACCTACATTTTGCACCATCCGCGCCCAAAGTCCATCATTGTCAAATCCACCCAAGGATGACCACACAAGAGCACTCCACACTGAACAACGGAGAGGGCTGCCACTTAGACGTGATGGATATATTCGGCAATGGGTCAATGGGTCCAGGGCTTGCATCTCTCGAACTATGAAGCTATGAGGTACCAGTTCTTCTTGTGGCAGCAAATGGAGGCTCTGGTGGCTTTTCTACCAGATCAACAACAGGAGCTAGCCAGAGTCTTCCTTTGCAGAGGGCATTCGGCTCTCAAAACAACAGACCACAACAGTGCACCATCATGTCAACTGTGATTCCAGAGCCTTAGTCTGTGCAGTCTCAGTTCAACAACATACATGGCTTTGGGCGGCTAACCTTCCTCAAGAGACATGTTCCTGGATCAAGAGCACACTGTTTGCTGGAGAAGGCCTCTTTCATGCCTTCACAGACCAGAAATTAGGCATACTCCAGAAGGCTAAAGCAATGCCTCAATACATGAGCATCGGCCCCTTTCAGCTGAGAACACATAGGTGGCCATGGCCCTATGGTACCAGCACCATAGTACCAGCCCTACCACTCCAGACAAAAAGGTCCTTGCCCCACTCGTCCTCAATATGAACACCACACCGCCAACACTGTCAGGATAGTGCCTGATCCCAAGGCAGGAAATGGCTTGACTCTGACAGAAGACAGCACTGACAGGCAGCATGAACCAGTGCCTTAACATCCCACCTCCACCTGGGGGCTACCTAAGTCACCATTCCCACCTGAGCATCCATCACATCTGACCAGTGGGTACTTTCATAATACAGAAATACAAAATTGAATTTGAGAACTTGCCTCCTCTTGGAATGGTCTGCATCACTCCTCCCTCTCCAACCCTAATGCAGGAAGTTGCCAATTTATTGCCAAAGGGTGCCATCTGTCTGGTACATCAATCCAAAGCTAAGCACAGTGTCTATTCACACCATTTTACCATTCCGAATAAAGATGGCACTCAGTAGCCCATTCTGGACTTGTGAAGAGTAAATAATTTACCCCACTTCCAAAGCTCCAAATGGTCTTCTGACAAGGCACTATGCCACTATTGCAAAAAGGGGACTGGTCTACATCCATCGCTTTAAAGAATGCATACTTTCATATCAGCATTCATCCTGACCACACTCCTATGGTTCCAGATTGGTACCAATCCCTTTGAGTTCCAGGGGCTACCATTCGGTTTCCTTGTACGGTTCTAAGAGTATTCACCAAATGTATGGCTCCAGCATGTTCACATTTCCAACTCAGGGAGTACAGGTTTACCACTACTTAGATGACTCATTGCCAGTCCCCAACATTCAACAGGACCTATGTGGTCAACTGAAATTACCTGCACTACTCTCAGCCCCTTGGGTCTGTGCATTGACACAGAAAAATCCATGCTTGCTCCTTCACAGACCAACCTTGTTTATTGGAGCAGTTCTCCATTCCATGCCAGCTCGAGCATACCTACCCAGAAACCAGATGGCTACAGCCTCTGCTAGGGCACATGGCATCGACCGTTGCCATGCTACATCTTTCCAGGCCACAAACATGCCCACTCCAGCTCTGGCTTACAACAGCATCCCAACCTGGGTGCGACTCGCAAAGAAAGACTAATTCCACCCTTCCATGTATAGGCAAGCCTAGCCTGGTGGATACATGAGTCCAATCTGTCAGAGGGACTTCCATTTCTGCCCTTGGAACTGACAGTAACGCTGACCACCGATACATTCCTCACTGGCTGGAATGTCCATTCCAACCAATACTGGACCCAACGGACTAGGCTCAGGCATGAAAAGAGACTCCATATAAAAGAACGAGACCTGCTGGCTGGGCACAAAGCATTCATTGCCCTACAGAACGTGCTGGTCAGCAGACACATGTGAATAGTTTTGGACAATGTCACCACAGTGTTCTATTGCAACCAACAGGATGAAACAAGATCCATTTCACTGACCCAAGGAAATATGGAACTGCTACATCCACCATGATGCACAAGCACAACCTTAGACAAGATTGGGCACTTTGAGGGCAGTATGGCCATAGACCCATATGTGAATGCCAACATACTCAGCCACACCCCATTCCAAGTTCACGAATGGGAACTCAACACAGAGACCCTGAACAACATTTTTTCTGCATGGGTCACCCCATCTACAGACCTCCTTGCTACGAAAGAGAATGCTGCATGCAGCAACTACCATTCCAGAGCAGAGATTGGCAAGAATTCCATGGGGGACACCTTGCTCATTCCAAGCACAGGAACTGTCCTCGATGCCATTCCTCTGTTCCTTTTCATTACGGGGAAGGCAGTGAAAATAAGAATCAAATACACTGGAGCCATTCTGAGAACGCCCTGTTTTCTGTCCCTGCTCCATCCCTCCAAATACAACTTCCTTCACATACCCTCGATTCCAAATTTCTTGTCCCAGGCATGGAGGAAAATACTAAACCCCCACATCATAAGGTAGGGCTCCTCAAACTTTTTAAACAGGGGGCCAGTTCACTGTCCCTCAGACTGTTGCGGGGGGGGGGGAGGGGGAGGCGGACTATAGTTTGAAAAAAATATGAATGAATTCCTATGCACACTACACATTAAAAAATAATTAAAATTACAATTAATTAAAATTAACAAATTAAAAATTTAAAAATGTTTGCTCCGCTCCCCCAGGCTGCAGCAGAAGCCCAAGGCGAGGTGGGGAAGAGCATGTCCATATTCAAGGGACATAGCTAC